GACCTGAGTGGGCTTCCTTCTGGGGCAGAAGGTCCAGAGACCTCTGCTTCTGGAGCAGGGGACATCAGTGGACTGCCTTCTGGAGTTGAAAGCGTAGGGACCTCTGCCTCTGGAGCTGAGGAACTCGGTGGTTTGCCTTCTGGAGAGGACTTGGTGGGATCTGCTTCTGGACACTTGGACTTCGGCAGACTGCCTTCTGGAACTCTAGGGAGCGGGCAGGCTCCAGAAGCAAGTGGGCTGCCCTCTGGCCTTAGCGTTGACTATTCTGGAGTGGAGCTTGGGAGTGGCCCATCCTCTGGCCTACCTGACTTCAGTGGGCTTCCCTCTGGGTTCCCGACGGTCTCTCTATTGAATACCACATTGGTGGAAGTGGTCACAGCCATCGCCACAGGGGGGCTGGAAGGGAAAGGAAGTGTTGAGGTCAGTGGTGCTGGAGACCCATCGGGGCTGCCTGTGGATGAGTTGGACGTCAGTGGAACTAGTGGACTACCTTCAGGAGCCGATCTCAGTGGTCAGGCATCTGGGTCTCCCGACATCAGCGGGGACACGTCTGGACTCTTCGGTATTGGTGGGCAGCCATCAGGCTTTCCTTTCAGCAGTGGGGAAACGTCTGGGCCCTTTGAGGTGACTGAGCAGCCGTCAGGGTTTCCTGGCAGCAGTGGGGAAACATCTGGGGTGACTGATCTTAGCGGGCTGTCCTCTGGGCAGCCCGATGTCAGTGCAGAAGTGTCTGGAGTGGGTTTCGGCAGTGGCCCACCGTTTGGCATCACCGACCTAAGTGGAGAACCATCTGGGGTCCCTGATCTCAGTGGGCAGCCATCGGGGTGGTCAGGGTTCAGTGGGGCCACATCTGGAATCCCGGACCTGGTTTCTGGTACTGTGAGCGGCAGTGGCGAAGCGTCTGGCATTACGTTCGTGGACACCAGTTTTGTGGAAGTGACACCTACCACGTTTAGAGAAGAAGAAGGCTTAGGGTCGGTGGAACTCAGTGGCCTTCCGTCTGGAGAGGCAGATCTGTCAGGCACGTCTGGCCTGGTGGATGTTGGTGGACAGTTTTCCGGAGCAGTCGATTCCAGTGGGTCTCCATCCCAGACTCCAGAATTCAGTGGCCTGCCAAGTGGAATACCGGAGGTCAGTGGCGAATCCTCTGGAGTTGAGGTTGGGAGTAGCCTACCCTCGGGGGCCTACGAAGGCAGCGGACTTCCATCTGGTTTCCCCACCGTTTCTCTGATAGACGGGGCTTTGGTAGAATCTGTGACCCAGGCCCCGACAGCCCAGGAGGCAGAAGGGACCTCAAGCATTTTGGAACTCAGTGGTGCCCATGCCGGAGCCCTGGACATGTCAGGAGACCTCTCTGGATTTTCAGACCTTGGTGGGATGCAATCGGGGCTGGTCACACAAAGTGGGGAGGCTCCAAGCACTCCATACTTTAGTGGGGACTCTTCTGGCACCCTTGATGGGAGCAAGGAATCCTCTACAGCCACCAGCACCAGTGGAGAGGCCTCAGGACTTCCAGAAGTGACCTTAATCACATCGGATTTTGTGGAGGGTGTCACTGGGCCAACTCCCTCCCAGGAGCTCGGCCAAAGGCCCCCTGTGACACACTCCCGGCTCTTTGAGTTCAGTGGGGAAGCCTCTGCCTCTGGGGACATCAGTGGAGCTTCCCCAATGCCCTTCAAGTTTGAGGGCAAAGTGTCGTCCATCCCAGAAACCAGCAGCGAGGCCTCTGAGATTGACGTGGGGACATCTGCTGTCCCCGAGGGCAGCGGAGAAGCCTCCACATCCCCTGATTTGGCTGGAGCCACGTCGGCCTTGCACGAAGCTGATCCTGAGGCAGCTTCAGGCCTGGGTGGGAGTGGCAGCGGCAGTCCCTCTGCCTCCCAGGAAGTCCCTACGGAGAGGTGGGCCACCCCAGAAGTGAGTGGAGAGCCAGCTGTACCCTATGGGGTGGGTACGGACACATCCAGCTTGTCTTGGGCCACTCTCCCAACTTCTGGCGACAGAAGTGAAACTGATGGAGCCATGTCCGGTCACACCTCGGGGCTACATGGCGTCATTAGCACCAGCACCCCAGAGGCTGTGTGGACCCAGGAGACCCAGCACCCTTCAGAGGTACATCTAGATACCAAGTCTTCAAGTCCCCAGCACTCAGGAGAAGAGCCCCCAGATGCTGAAACATCCACTTACCCAATAGACGCTGGCGTCCCAACTGCCCCGGAAGAGACAGGTGAAGTGGGGGTGCTCTTAAAACGTGCTTGGGTAGCTCTGGCTGTGGGCAGCACAGCACAGAGGCAGGTGGTGCGTACCACAGCCCCCCACACAGCCTGGCTGCCAGCTCCATCACTGTTGGCTGTGCAGTCTCAGGCTTTGTTCTCAATCTCTCTGACCCTCATCTGAAAAATGGGACTGGACCAGAGAAGATGCTCTCTCTCTCTCTCTCTCTCTCTCTCTCTCTCAATGCCATTCAGGCAATTCTGACTTATAGCAACTCTACAGTACAGGGTAGACCTGAAGGTTTCTGAGGCTAAATCTTTTTTTTTTTTTTTTCTAATTCAGCAACTTCTTTATTGATTATTTATTTATTTACTTCTTTATTTTAATCGTTTTATTAGGGGCTCATACGACTCATCACAATCCATACATACATCAATTGTGTAAAGCACATTTGTACATTCATTGCCCTCATCATTCTCAAAACATTTGCTCTCCACTTAAGCCCCCTGGCATCAGCTCCTCATATTTTCCCCTCCCTCTCCACTCCCCCCTCCCTCATGAGCCCTTGATAATTTATAAATTATTATTTTATCATATCTTGCCATGTCTGACGTCTCCCTTCACCCACTTTTCTGTTGTCTGTCCCCCAGGGAGGAGGTCACATGTAGATCCTTGTAATCGATTCCCTCTTTCCAACCCACTCGCCCTCTACCCTCCCAGTATCACCACTCACACCACTGGTCCTGAAGGGATCATCCGCCCTGGATTCCCTATGTTTCCAGTTCCTATCTGTACCAGTGTACATTCTCTGGTCTAGCCGGACTTACAAGTTAGAATTCAGATCATGATAGTGGCGGGGAGGAAGCATTTAGGAACTAGAGGAAAATTGTATTTTTCATCGTTGCTACATCGCACCCTGTCTGGCTCATCTCCTCCCCGAAACCACTCTGCAAGGGGATCTCCAGTGGCCTACAAATGGGCTTTGGGTCTCCACTCCACACTCCCCCCATCATTCACTGTGGTAAGATTTTTTGTTCTGATGATGCCTTAGAGACTAAGTCTTTACGAGAACAGAAAGCCTTGTTTTCTCCCTCAGAGGCCGCTGGGGATTGCAAACTGCTGACCTTGCTGTTAGCAGCCCAACCCTAGTGGCACTGTGGGTTACGCGCATAGAGAAGATTAAGTGGATCATAAATATTCATGAAAGGATCATATATATTCTTTGGGTGGCACAGCCAACTAATCACTCAGCTACATAACCAAAAAAACTGGCAGCTTAAACCCACCCCGAAATGCCTTAGGAGAAAGGCCCGGTGGTCTCTTTCCACAAGGTCACAGCCCTGAAGCCATCATGGAGCGTAATTCTATTCTGAAGCATGTGGGATGCCCAGGAGGCGGAGCCTGGTCGACCATAGTCCTTACATCCCCGTGAAGCAGGCAATTGACCATGCTTTGCACATAGTGCCTACTCACAGGTTAGCGACTGACAGTGTTATGGTGGCCCCCAGTCACAGGAACACTCACAGGTGAATGCCCAGAGAGAGAGAAGGGTGGATGTTTACAGTGACAGCCCTGGTGGTGTAGTGGGGTGTGCCCTGGACTGCTAACCATGAGGTCAGCAGTTCAAAACCAAGAGACAAGGCTTTCTACTCTCATAAAGAGTTACAGTTCTCAGAAAACCATGGGAGCAGTTCTACCCTCTGCAGAGGGTTGCTGGGAATCTGAATCGATTTTATGTCAGTGAGTGAGTGATTCCCCATTAACCTACTATCATCCGATCAAATCCGACCTCTAGACCCTATAGGGCAGAGTCAGTCTTTACAGGAACTGGCAGCCTTGTGTGTCTCTCATGGAGTAGTTGGTGGGTTCCAACCATCGACCTTTTGGTTAGCATCCCAGTGCTTAACCCGCGGTGCCACCAAGGATCATGCTGGAAATTCTGCTCAACTCTCCTGCCCCCGAGGCAGTGTGAGACGAGGGAGCGAACCTGTCAATGATGCTTATGCCCAGATACATCCTGGGTGTGTGAAGGGCAAAAACGGCCCTGGTGGCCCAGCCGGATAAGTGTGGGCTGCTAACTACAAGGTCAGCAGTTCGAACCCAGCAGGCTCTCTGTGGAAGAGGATGAAGTTGGCTGTCCCTGTAAGGTTTTACCATCTCCAAACCCCACAGAGTGGTTCTGCCTTGCCCTGCTGGGAGGCTACGAGGTGGAATCGACTCGATGGCAGTGAGTTTGGTTTGGGTCCGGTCCCCACCCATCCCTGGTCCTGGGTGACCCCTCTGTGGGATGTTATTACCAGGAAGACTTTACCTCAGCATCAATGAGAGGACCGGGCCTTCTCTAATCCCAGGCGCCAGGCATGGCAGCTGTTTTTCTGGAGTGACCTTGCACTCCAGCTCTGAGCTAAGAAAGCTTTTACAGTCAGAGCAAGGCTCCTGGATGCCGTGAGACAGGTAGCCAGGTGGGACAGAGTGCCCAGAAACATTTGAACCCCAGTTGACCTCATAGACCATGGAGGGCCATGTGCACCACTGTGAGCTCGTGGCTGCACTGGTACCCAGGCAGCTGCGTCTGGATGCTCAGCTCTCCCCAGGGCTGGGACCCTTGCCCAGGAGTCCTGCCAGGAGGCGGGAAATGTGCCGCATGTCTGCGCCCCCTGGCTACAGTGCAAGCACTGTGACACTGGCTGGCAAGGCCCTCCTCAGTTGGGTAGGCATGAGGAAGGGGGCTGGTGGACTCTTCTGCCCCAGAAGGGACTGAGAGTGGGGCGCGTCAGGTGTGGCCAGGAGAGAGGCACAGTGGGGTCCCGGGGTGGGGCTGAGGAGGAACGCAGCACAGCGGCCCTGGTGTCTGTTACATGATGGTTTAGGAGGGGAAAGCAAAGCAAAGGAACTAGTAAGTAATTCGTTTCTGTCGGGCCATGGATGAGTTTGTGAGTGGGATCCAAAATGTGGTTAGATTTTGAAGTTAAACCCGGAGGGTTCAAGGAAGGGGAGTGGAGGGGACCCCACCATGAGCCGGTTAGAAGCCGCATGCCAGTCTGTGGACACATCCCAGGCCTCTGGTCATGATGACATTGTATTTCTTTAATATCCCCACCTTGGAGGGAAGATGTGCCCTGTGGCCTTTGAGCTCAGGTCCTTGGCTTACCTCGCTCCCTGCCTTGGCCCCTTATCCCAAGCCTCTCCTCTAAGCCCTAGGGTCGTTCCCAAAAAGGGAAAAAGGGGCCCTAGGGGGAGATCTACCACTATCCCATAACCGTGCCAGGAAACTGTGCCCCGTCACTTTTCCATACGAAAGAAGGGCGTGTCCGTGTTTATATATATTAATATATATTCAAATTAACACACGATTCTATATTATATGCTTATATAATATAAATATACTGTATGTATGCACTATACAGTAAATATATGTGTGTGTGTATAAACAGGAGCGTGTGCATCTATTCCCTAGGTCCCCTCTGGGGTGGGGGTCAACTACGTTCACATGCGGGGGATGTGCCCTGAGCACACCTTTGCCCCTGTGGCCAGAGACAGAGGCGCAGGTAGGAAGGTCCAGGCCTTATTGCCAAGGAGGAAACATTCTCACCCGCCCTAGTGGGCCCAGGGGCTACAGCTGCACTCTGGGGGCCCATCGGCCAGCCCTGGTGGAAGATGGAGTGAGGCTGCCTCTGGAGAAAGCCAGGGGAGACCCTTATTCTTCAGCCAGTGCCGACTGGTAATGACTCGTGTGTCACCAGAGAACTGTGCCATGGAGTTTTCTTGACTCTAGATCTTTATAGAAGCAGAAGGCCAGGCTTTTCTTCCACTGCACTGCTGGTGGGCAGGAACCCCCACCTGTCGGCCAGTGATGGTGGGTAAAGGCTTTCCTACACTCAGGGACCTGGGGAGCCCCTGGGATAGTGCTTTCTGCCAACAAGCCTTAGCTGAGAAGTCTCCTGGGCAATGGGCGTGGTCCTGTGAGATGCGCCTCCTGGTGGGCATTGTGTATGTGCGAGTTCTGCTGCCCTGGGTCGGTGGAAAGGAGGGAGGCTCACTTGGCCGAAATGTTCCAAGGCTCAGGGCTAGGGGCCAGCTCAGCCGAGGTCTGCGGGAACAGTCACAGGTTGCCTGCCTGGGACAACCGCCAGCACCAGAGTCCCACTGCCACCTGTAGTGTCTCTTGACACCTTTCTCTGTTCTTAGCAGCCTTCTCCCAGCCTGATCCTTGAGGCCAAAGTGCCACCGGAGCCACAGCAGGGCTGGTGTCTCCTCTTTGGCCCTGGAATTCATACAAGTGGGCAACAAGTGGCGCTTAACCGCCTTGCTGTGAGGACAAGTCTCCTTTCCCACAATTGCGTCCCTGAAAAGCTCTGAGCAGCTTGGTGACACCCCCATTTGAAGCTGCAGCACAGAGAGAAGGGACGCCCCCAGAGTGGAGCTATTCCTTCCTGTGGGTTACACACTTAGCTGAAGAAGGGGCCCCTCTGGAAGCTGGGCTTCCAGGGGAACCAGCGCGCAGAGGGGCTGAGGACTGAGCATAGGGTCCACTTCAGCCCACCTAGCCAAGCCTCGTTTTCCTCCTCTGTGCATCTGTATGAAAGGAAGTGGTTCTAGGCTTTAAGCCATCCTAGTGCCTCGGGTCCCATCCCTGCAGGTATTGGAGGTTTTTAAACTCCCCGGGGGCTGAGAGCACGACTGGATTGAGGTCGTCACACTGCAGGGGCTTTTACTGAAAAAAAGTGTTCTCCTTCCCCAGTTCTCTTGCGGGGAGGAACAACTTCATCGTCTCTAAAGAGTCAGCCCTCACACAACCTGCTAGACCACCCGGGCCCTGTGGCCCTGGGGTCCCAAGCCCCTCCTGTTCAACGTGGCTCGAGACGGTGCTTCCACGAGGACTGCAGGTGGTTTGGGTTCCCTGTAGGTGTCAGAAATAGGAACTGCCAGTTGTTAAAGAGCCCACAGATACATCCACCTCTGGGGCCTTACAACCGAAGCCAACTCTCCTACTAGGAATTCAACTGCTGCGCCCAGGCATCGGTTCCCTGGGTCCTAGTCCCTGGAGCATCCTCGGATCCTGTACTCCAGTCAAAGACAGAAGTAAACAGATGTGGCCAGAAACCTAGGGGTGGATGAACGAAACGAGCGTCCGCCCTCCCTGGGAGCTAGCCTCCACCTTCCCAGCCCCATGGCACGGGGGCTAGGCCAGAGACTCCAGGGCTGGCCTCTGACTCTTCTTCCCAGAGGCCACTCCTATCCCCTGCTCTACACAACTGCTTTAGCGCCTACATTTGCTTAATACGCCCGCCCTTGCCCAGTGCTGCCAATCATGATGCTAATGGCCAAGAGAAAACGGTCGCTTTCCTAAAACAGGACAGCTACTGTCAGCTTCCACCCCCATGACTGGCCTGGCCTATTACTGCTGCTGCTGCTGCTGTGTCTGAGAATCCCAGTGCATGCTGGGAATCCAAGTGCATGCTGGGATCTCAGTTCATTCTGCCATGCATTTGGGGTTTGCTGGTAACACTTGCAGACATGGAACCGTGGGATCTGATAGACGCTGGCTGAGCTGAAGAGCTTCCTGGGAAGGATGAGAAGGCTGTGGACTGGACAAACCCAGCTCTGGCTTAAAAGATGTCTAGGAGGTACTGCCGTTATGCTGATATGGAGGAAAGTGACTTCAGTGCCCTCGGATCTTATCACGAGAGGCAAGAACGAAGTCCGGGAACATATTCAGGACTCTGGGATCCTAGTCCCAGCACAGGCCTGAGCTGCTCCCATGGAAACCACTGTGGACCCCTCCCTCGTTGGACCCTGGAGGCTGTGTGGATGCAACTGCACCTACCGAGGCGTCGCATCTTCAAGCCATGTACCAAGGTGCCACTGATAGACCACTCAATTGCCACCCTGGAAAGAAAGGTCCTGCAGTGTCTTCTACTGTGGTCCTGAGGGAGGAAACCCAGAAAGAACCATCAAAAGCTCTCAAGGTGGCAACTGAGAGCCTTCCAGGTTTTCCAGTTTCTCCAAAAGACCAGGTTCAGTGGCTCCATCCTGACCTTGGCTGCTGGGTGAAAGGTGGAGGCAAAGGTTGGCCTACCAACTCACGTCTCATAAGCACATCTGATCAGAAAGAACAGCCTGGGACCAGATGAGACGGATCTGCCAGAGGAGACGAGGTGGATGGGAATTGTGTCAAGTTGGTGTTGGTGGGCATCTATCCAAGTGCCTAACCAGTGTCAAAGATTTGCCTTTTTCTGCCCAGAATGGAACTCCTACGCTTCACATTTCTGGGACCTTAAGTTTGCTGGAGGTAACTTGGGAAAATGTTGGACAAGGTTCCATCCCTTCACCAAAAAAGAGCTGCCAGCGTCATCTCGACTCGGTCCTCCAGAATCTCATGTACTGGAGACAACCAGAGAGATGGAAAGGGTCCCGTATGGAAACCTCACGCTGCCATTGTCTCACTGGGTAACAGTGGGTGGGGCACCTCCCGCCTGTTCATTCTAGAGCTGCAGGGCCTTGCTCTCTTGCCTGGGTCCAAAAGACAGAGGCAGTCCGGAGGGAAAGGGAAAATCTGCCAAGCTTCAAGAGCTGGAGTCCAGCCGCACCCTGCATCCCACGGCTCCGAGCTGGTTCAGACCCGGTGCCTTCTTGAAGCATTTGCAGGAAAGGCGTTGTGAAGCTGGGCTTTCTTCAACCCAAGGGGGAACCTGACTCCGATATCCCAAGGTTACCAACCAAGAGGAACACGTATCCAAGAAAACCCATGTCTGGATCTTTAAGTCAGCGTGCCAGGATGGCGGCGGCGGTGGCGCGGCGGTGGTGGCAGCAGCCTCAGTTCTCAGGAAACCCAGTTGGTCCCCTCCCCAGGATCTGGAGAGCAGCAGGGCCGGCTACCCGGCAGGAGGCCACAGAGCTCTGCAGAGCTGCAGCTGCCTGCCACAGGCGTCCTAATGGCGGCCCTTGGTTTCTTGCAGACATTGATGAGTGCCTCCCAAGCCCTTGTCTGAACGGAGCCACCTGCGTGGACGCCCTGGACTCTTTCACATGCTTATGCCTTCCCAGCTACGGAGGGGACCTGTGTGAGCTCGGTACGGCCGTCTCGGCTTCAGCTAACGTGACTAACTGCTGCCCCCTCTCCCCCCTCACCCTGCCCTTCTAACCACAGGCTCGGGCCTGGACTGGGTCCCTCAGGCCCAGCCAGACACCCACTCCTCGCTGTTTCCCTTGAAAGCCCTCCTGCAGGGCTGACCAAGGGAGAGCAGGGGAGACCGGCTGGGCTCTGGGGAACCTTTCAAACCTAACCTTCTCCAGGGCCCCAGACCTGCCGCTCCACCGCAGAGGCCGGTGTGTGAGTTAGACCAGGAGCAAAAGCTAATGCAGCGCTTTGGTCCTGAAGGAAGATGTAGGATGGGAAGAATCCCCTCTCTCTCTGGATGGCAGTCACAGATCTTTCCAGTATGGTCGTGGGCATGGGCCTGCCTCCTTACTTCCCCATGGGGCCTCGGTGGCCCCTCTGTGGACTTCAGACCTATCATGTCACGATGATGAAACTGCCTTCCTCGTCTACCTGAGAGCCCGCATGTCACTGGCATGCTCAAATTGTGCATGAACACGGACCACTGCATGTCACCTCTACCTCATCCCCCATGTCACTCGGGCCCAAGCTTCCCCTCTCCCTCCCTTGTGCAAGGGGGCTGTTTCCTCTCTTGGGTCTTGCCAAAACCTCCACGTCTTCCCCTGGACTAGCTGCCCCTCCACTCAGGGATGCTGGGTGCCACGAGCCCATGCAGGGCCAGCCTGTGCCCCCAGCTCTCTCACCCAGGGTGTGTCTCAGTCTCCCCCACCCCCTCCGGGCTTCCAGGGCCTCCCCAGCGCAGACAGGGAGAATGAGCTGCAGGTGCTGGCAGCAGCGGCCCAGGCAGCATGTGTGCAGAGACTCTAGAGCAGAGGTTCTCAACCTGTGGGTCGCGACCCTTTTGGGGGTCAAACGACCCTTTCACAGAGGTGGTCCGATACATAACAGTAGCAAAATAACTGTCATGAAGTAGCAACGAGCATCATTTTATGATTGGGTGGTCACTGCGACATGAGCTGCATGAAAGGGTCGTGGCATCAGGAAGGTTGAGGACCACTGCGCCGCTAAAGCATTCCGAACGAGTTCTCCAGTTGGACCTCCCAGAAGCTTCCAGGAGGTGGCTGAGCAGGATAGCTTTGGTTGCACACTGGTCTCTCCTGGGGGCACTGCCAAGGTTACAGCCTGGTGGAGGAAATTAGGCCTACGGAGGCGGGCGGGTGGTAAGGCCTGGACTCTCCTCTTCCCCTGCAGCCAACCACCCTGCCTCCTCACACCCAAGACCTTGAGGAACCAGTGCATGGGGTCTTGGTGAGGGCGGAAGTGGGAAGCTACAAGGACTGTCTCCCTAGCTTGCCACAGGGGAAAGGGGTTCGTTAGGGAAGCGATGTAATCGCTCTTCAGTTTCCGGAGGGGTGAGGGGTGCTCACGTTCACCAGACTGGGTGCTGACGGAGCCAGGAGCCACTCAGCAGACTGCACCCCCGGGCCCACTCCTGGATGCTGCGCCCCTGCGCCTGCCTCTCCCACAGTGGCCCCTGCCTTCGCGCTAGCCCCTGCTTTTTCCAGCCCTCCCAACACTGCTTGATTTCTCAGGGCCTCTGTCCTGCATGGCGCTGGCCTCTCCCAGAGAAGCTGCACCCCAGCTTTGCCTGTCCCGCTCAAAACCCAGATGCCAACGTGGCCCAAACCTGGCTGGGACGATGGTTCTGACCACACTGTGCTGAGCTGCTGCAGTGGCTTCTCCCCAGACTTCCGCCCCATCCCTTGGCAGCAAGAGAGATGGGGCATCCTGCCTGGCCCCCTGCTGCTTTCTTCCCAGGCTGCTGACCTCCGAGGCTCACCTCTCTCCATTGTCCCCAAGCGTCCACCCCTTCAACCTAACACTTCTTCCCCTCTTGGGACGGGTGACTGCTAGTGGCCCCAGTCAGAGAGCCCCCATATATCTTGAGGGTTCAGGGACCTGCAGTCAACCCTGAGGCAGCCCTCCACCTGAGAGACCTCTGGGCACAAAGGAGGTCTTGGGACTCCTTCTGCCCAGAGTGGCAGAGAGAGGAGAGCCCTTGGGCGCAGCCTCTGCCAACCTCTGAGGTGTAACTGTGCCCACCAGAGCCAGCTAAAGCACCCATCCCAAGGTCACAGAGGGCAGAGTTTGGGATGGAAGCCCCGCCTCTGTCCAAACCAGGCCCCATCTCCAGACCCGAGGACCAATTGGGAATTCAGGCTCAGGAGGAGCCGGGCTTCTGCCTACTTCCCATCCAGCTCTGCCCTCCCCATGCATGCCACAAAGACAGGGTCCCTGGCCATGAGCCCCGGCTGGTGTGTCCCCTCCCTAATTCAAGTCAAGTGCTCATCTGGAGCCGGCACTGGTCAGTGGATGCCACCTTGCTCAGGGGCTTCCATGGGCCCATAGTGGAAGCCTTTCTACCCCTCGGGCCCCTGCTACCCCCAGATTCAGCTGCCTCGCCTGGGTGCCCCCAGCGGCTTCTCTCAGAGCTTCTGCACCTCCGTTTGCCTTCACCACCCACCCCACCTCCTTGCCCCTCCTCCCCCCAAGCCCTGCACTCCTGACTCCTTACAGGGCCTGCCAGATAGCACCTACTCTCAGGAGGGGGAGGGCGTTCAAGGTAACATCAGAGAGAACAAGGACCCTTGACCCGAGGTCATGACCAGGCCTCATGGCTTGCCACTGGAGCTGGGCCTCTCCAGCTTGGAGCCCCGACATTTACGGGGTGTGAATAGAGGGGTTCATGGCATCGGACCGGCAGCCGGTGCTGCCCCAGCTGACCCTGGAGCCCCCTCATGGCCCCCACCTGTGTTGCAGACCAGGAGCTGTGCGAGAAAGACTGGGCCAAGTTCCAGGGCCACTGTTACCGCCACTTCCCCGACCGCAAGGTCTGGACGCAGGCCGAGGTCCACTGTCAGCAGCACCAGGCGCACCTGGCCAGCATCCTCACGCCCGAAGAACAGGCCTTCGTCAACAGTGAGTGGTGGCGGGGAAGGAGGGAAGGGTGTTGGACCTCTCAGAAGAGGACACGGGCCCTGGGGACCAGGAGCTCTGGTTGCACTCAGGACTGTCAGCCCTGGACCTAGCCCTCAGGGCCATCACCAGTTCATCCCGCGCGGGGAGGTGGTTGGGTGCACGCTCAGCACGCCTGTGTGAGAGCTTTTAAAAACAGGCGGGGCCCATCCCTCCTGAGCACTAGACCCTCAGGCCCCATCAGAGCCCAGTCCCTTGCTCAGCACCTCCCTCCCCACCCCACGCATGTCCTCTGCAGACAATGCTCAAGACTACCAGTGGATCGGCCTGAACGACAGGACTGTTGAAGGGGACTTCCACTGGACAGATGGACACCCCTTGGTGAGTCAGGGGCACTAGGCAGCATGGGCAGCCCCGTGGAGAGGGGCTGGGGTGGAAGACCACCAGAGACTAAAGCACTGTAACGGAGCCTCAGCGCTCACGGGGCAGCTTCTGGGCACTGAGCCCCGGAGTACAGGGCTATGTCTCCAGAGCCCACTCTCAGTGGCCCTGTAGGACAAGGTAGAACTGCCCCTGTGGGGTTCCGAGACTGTAACTCTTAATGGGAGAAGAAAGCCCCATCTTTCTCCCAAGGAGCAGCTAGCTGGTGGTCTCAGATTTTAGACCACAGCCCAACAGGTAACCACCACTCCACCCTGCGGGACAGGGAAAAGCTTTAAGCGAGGCCCCCGCCCCCCGAGGGCCTCAGGTCTGCTCACAGAGATGGGTCTGCAGACAAAAAGCAGCAAAGACCCCAAATGAGCTCTTCCTGTGGCTGCCCGGTGCTGTCTAGCCAACGCACAGCACCCCACGTGGCTGAGCAGTCCTGCTCTGTAGGCTTTTCTTCGCTGTAATCTTTACAAGGGTAGATTGCCACACTCTTCTCCCAAGGAGCCACTGGGTGGGTTCAAACAGCCAACCTTCCAGTTGGCAGCTGGGCTCAAACCAAACCCATTGCCGTCGAGTCCCTCTTGACTCCTGGTGGCCCCGGAGGACAGACAACTGCCCCTGTGGGTTTACAAGGCTGTGACTGCAAGGAAGCAGACCCACACACCTTTCTCCTGTGGAGCTGCTGGTGGGCTTGAACTGCGGACCCTGTGGTCAGCAGCCACACACGTAGCCACTGTGCCATCAGGGATCCTACATGAAGGATACGGTAAATGCTGCAGGAGCTCAGGGGAAGTGCCCAGGAAGAGGTGTCTGCCACCGAGTAGTTAAATTATTCAGTAGGAGACCGTCCTTGCCCAAAACAAGGCTGGAGGGAGAAGCCTGGGGCAGCGCCTGGAGTGTAAGCCAGGATTCTACCCTTCTGTCCAACCTAAGCAAGACAGCCTCTGGGGTAAGCCCTTGTATGGCAGTATGAGAAAGGGGAGTATTGTCAGTCAGTGGAGGCGTATATGTTGCTATGGGTTTCAACTAAAAGAGACCAGGAAGAAAGGCCTGGCCATCTATTTCCTAGACTTAAGCAATGAACCCATTATAGCTCACAGCGGTTTGATCTTCAACCAGTCATGGGGATGATGCTGGACCGGGTCCATCACGTCCCTTTGTGCATGGTGTCAGCCTGCTGACAGCTGACAATAGCAATTAGCTCTGTAACAAGACTGCAAGCTCGAGGGACTGATCTCCTGGAGGGGCCCAGGGCTAGGGTGTATGTCCGGCTCCATCTCGGGCCCTGGGTTCCCTGTCACCCAGGACAGCCCTAGCCAGACTCCCTGCAGCCTTTGTGCTGCTGAAGGGCTAACAAGAGAACATGGGGCAGGAAGTGAGCAGGCTATTCTGCCCCTCTCTTCTCATCACACCTCTCCCAACCCTGCCCACAGCACTTTGAGAACTGGCGCCCCAACCAGCCGGACAACTTCTTTGCCAGTGGGGAAGACTGCGTGGTGATGATCTGGCACGAGAAGGGCGAGTGGAATGACGTGCCCTGCAATTACTACCTGCCCTTCACCTGTAAAAAGGGCGCTGGTAAGCAGGGCACTGGGGGTTCTCATGAGAGGTTATAGACCATCTGCCCAGCCTTACCCTCCTCCCCTGCCTTTCACTACTTCATCCTCTGACCAAAAAACCCTCACAGCTGTCGAGTCAAGGCTGTGTATTTCCGAGACTGCAGCTGTTTATGGGAATAGAAAGCCAGTCCTTCTTCCCCGGAGCTGCTGGTGGTTTCAAACTAGCAACCACGCGAATTGCAGCCCAGAGTATAACCACTATACCACGAGGGCTCCTTCATCCCCTTAAGAGCCCCTCTTTTAATTGTACTAAACCAAACCCAACTCACTGCCATCGGGTTGATGCCAACTCACGGCAACGCGGTAGGACAGAGTAGAACTGTCCCCGCGTTTCCAAGACTGTAACCATTGATGGGAGTGGAAAGCCCCCTTTTTCTCCCACTTAATTTTGACAGACTGTTCTCTAGAGCCACTCGCAGGAAAACTGCAGGAAGTAGAGTCCCCATTTACTTTCTTGCCTCTTACCATTCCCTATTATTAACATCTGCCATTCCTGCATTTCATCTGTTCCCATGGACTGACAGCTATGGGCACGTTACTAAGGGAAGTCCATACATCCCATGAGAGTTCACTCTGTGTGGGGCAGCCCTGTGGGCTTTGGCAAATCCATGATGTCATGCATCCACTAGTACAGAATCAGGCAAAATGGGTTCACCCGTTCATCCCTCCCCACCCCGAGCCCCACCATAGTCCCTGGAACCCACTGATCTTTCCATTGTCGCTACACTGTTGCCTTTTGCAGAAAGTCAAACAGTCGGAGCCGCACAGTCAGTATACAGCCTTTGGAAACTGTTTCTCTGCACTTAGCAGAAGGCATTCAAGGTTGCCCCCCCAAGCCCCGCCCCCCTTCACCACCTTTTGGTGGCTGATAGCTTGCTCGTTCCTTTTCTTCACTGAATGAGCCTCCACTGTATGAATGTACCCTGGTCCCAAGATAGTGCAGCTGGTTGGCACTAATCCACTCAGCAGTACCTGGCAAAAGTAGCAGTACCTGGTAGAAAGGGCTGGCAAACTGCTGTGAGATCATCAATCCCACTGAAAACCCTCTGGCACTGTCACATGAGTTGAAATTGCCTGTCATCAATGGGTTGGGCTTGGGACGTGGGTTTGTGCTGAAGAGGCACACAATGTATTGCCAGCACCAGTCAGATGGAGTTGGCTCTGACTCAGGGCGCACCCTGGTGTGTCGAGCAGCTCTGCGCTCCAGAGGGTTTTCCGTGCCTGAATTTCCAGAAGATTACCAGGCTGTTCTTCTGAGGTGCCTCTAAGTGGTCTCAAACTTGTAAACTTCAGTTAGCAGCTGAGGATGTTAACCTTGTGTGTCACCCAAGGAATCCATACTTTGTGCATTTCACTCACTGCCAGCAAGTCTATTCTGGCTCGCATTGACTCTACAGGACCGATTAAGACTGCCCCTAAACAGCTTCATCTTTCCCCCTCCAAGTTGCTGGTGGCTTTGAACTGAGATGCCCTGTGGTTAGAAGCCCAGTATGTAACCACTAAGCCACAAGGGCTCCTTTGTAACTCTTTTTGGGTGTAGAAATCCTCTTTTCCTCCTGAGAAGCAGCTGCCCAACATGCAGGCCAACAGGGCTCCTTAAACTTGTTAAGAACCCCCTCATTAATTGCTGAAACCCTGGTGGGGACGGAGCATGATAGTGGGACAGGAGGAAAGTCAAGGGAAATAGAGGAAAGAGCTGGGAGGAAAAGGGCATTTATAGAGGTCTAGATAAAG